TCTATCATGGAATACAATGTTAAAAATATAAGAAAGCAATTAACATTAAAATGTTTTTCCCTTAAACATCCATATTTTAAAAAATAACCATGGTAGAAATGTTATCGTTTCCTCTCAAAAGAAGCAACCTTTTACTTGTAAGAAAGATAAACTGAAATCTTTAAGTCCCAAAAGTGATTAACTTGTAACTTCTCTCTATAATATCCCTACATTATCCAGCAAGCGGGTAATGAGAATACTCAAACTCATCAGGTAGAGGTTGTTATCTTGATCCAGCACCAAATTCTCGGGACTCATTGACAAGGAAATGGGTCGCAGTTAGAGAAGAGAATTAACAAACAGATCTTGTGAATTAAAGGGTCAGCTGAAAATCATGTCTGGGACTGCTGAACATGTCTTGAGATTAAAAAAATATGATTATTATTTTTTAAAAAATATGCATTTAACAGTCATATCGTCCTTAACCTGGCAAAGTGTTCCATTATGTACACTAGTAAATCAGTTCCTCACGCGCCTGGCTGAGAAGTTTCCGACCACAAAATTTTTAAAGAGTGTATCAACAACATGTATACCAAACTATCCTGACAGGCATCTTCCAACGATATTTATCTACTGTGAAGAGGACATGAAGAAACAGTTTGTAGGACCTTTTGCATTTGGAGGAATGAATCTTAAGATTGAAGGTAAGTTGTATTGAATGAAAAGAGAGAAGCAGAGATCTGATGATAATTGAATTCTCTGGTACTGTGCAGTAGTCTCTCTTTAAATTTCAGTGCTCTGAGCTATTGGTTTTTTCTTTTTAACTCTTTACACCCTCACATCAGTATCAGTATTCTCTTTACTGCTCTCTATACATTTCTTTAGGTTCTGATGAGGAGAATTTGTGTAACAATCAAGAGATTTGTGATTCTTGTGACCTAAGTGTGTGATTCAGAGCTGACATTATATGGAGAAATTAGATGCTAGTCACTCTAAGGTCAAAGGGCATACTACGATCCTAAATGTCTCCAGTCATGATGGCACAACTATAAACAAATCAATTTATGTTCCATATTTATTTCTTGTTTAGTGATTAATATTGATGCCATATGTCTATACTCTATATTTATAGAATTGGAATGGATGTTGGCTGAAGCTGGGGCAGTAAAAACAGACTTAGAAGAGGATCCACGTAAAAAGAATAAAGTTCATGATGTTATGACAAGTTCTTTGCAACAGATGAACGCTAAGGATTCAGATAGTGATGATGATGATGATGATGAATAGCATCCAGAGAGCAATTACTGGATATATTTACTTTATTTCCCAACAAACTTAAAGCTTCAACGTCCCCCCTGCCTTGGGTAACTCACCAGCATTTGACCATGGTCTGTGCCTAGGGGGGTGGGAAATCTGAACCTTGCCCTGCTGGGGTGGGGTGGGAATACAAGTAGAATGCAATAATTGAATCTTTAAATGTTGAGGTGTTCAAGGTAAATAGTTTCATTTTGCAAGTGAATGGCTCAGAAGAAACGGTCTACAAGGTCTGGGTTTCAACACTTTGTCAATGTGTAGAAGGTCACTGTCACTGATATGGCCTTGTACAAAAAAATTAGCTCAGGCATTGAAACACAAGCTTTTCCCTGAAGGGGGGGAGGGGAGATATTTGAATAAATTAATGGTCAAAAGTTCAAATGCCTGAAGCATTGCTTGGGGGAGGGAGGGGAGAGGAAATGTTGGAGCTTGGAATTGCAGGATGCATTATGTCCGATATTTAAAAATCATCTTGAAAATTATCTCTAGAAACAAATTTAAGAAATCCCTGTTTATTTGATTAAGCACCCAACCTCAAATAAGGAGGAGTTTTGATTATTACTTCATGACTCACTTACAATCTCTTAATTCACTGCCTGTGTATAGACATCTAAACATTTTGTTATTATTTCTTGTTTTGTTGCAAAGTTAACTTAATACTCGCTGAAAATGGTGGGGATCAAATAAGCACCCAAGTTTGAAAAAGTGCCCTCCTCAGATAAGTGCCAGCTCCAAAGGTTCAAACATTTTATGAGTGCCCAGAGCACTTTGCAAGTAATTACAGTATCTACCTATCACTTAATTTTTTTAAGAGACAGAAAAGTGGTGGGGAAACTTTTTTTAATTACTTAGAGGGGACAAATAATTGAGCTAAGGAGAGTTTAAAAAAAAAAAGCCTCTTTTTCAACCTGTGTCAGTTGTCCTCTTCACAACCAATGTTAGCAATTGTGCTCTCAATTTTTGGCAGTAGGAGGCCTGGGTACAAGATTTGGGAAAATTCTTTTACCACTGACTCTCTCCAATAAGTCGAAATCATAAACACAGATTTCAAGATTTTTCTTTGATTTTATTGCAAATATTTGCTTTAAAAATACATTAACAGTTTTTTGCCAACATATCTATCTTCTCTGGCTATTTACAATTGATCATTGAAGATCATGTACATTGAGGAGAATTCCTCCTTAAATAATTTTGTCACTGTATTATTTGGGTCAAATTGTTACTTCTCACAGTCCTAATACGTCGTGGTACTTACATTAAATAAACAATAACTTTTAACTTTTATTTGAAATAAGTTTCCACCTTTGAAATGATATATATGACTATTAACTTGTAATTAAAACTACAGATTTGGAAACAAAAATTACCGCTACGTAAATCATGTGTCTTTATCGTGTTTACTAAAATAAAATTAAGCTAGATTTCTTGGAAAAAAAAATAAACTGGCGCGCTAGATAGGAGGCTTGTCGTGTTCCAAGAACGCGTGAGAAACGCGTCTTAAACGCGATAGAAACGCGTTACAAGGACAATCTGGCAAAGCCACCCAACCCTTTCACTCCTACAAGTGACGAGAAACTAATTTCCTCTTACAGTATCAATACAATATTGAGCAGACAGGTGATGAGAATAAAGAAAAATATCAACAAAAAGAAACTGATTTGACTTCACACCAAATTCTCGTAACTTACATCGATGGAAATGTAGGTAGGTGAAATTGTGGAAGTGAAAGAGTTATTCTAACGAGCTGATGTATCTGCAAACCGTGATAAATAAATAATGTAATGTATTTCTGTACGATGAACCGTGAGTCATTAAATAATATTGTTATAGACAACTGAGGATTTGAGTAACTAACGAGGCAAATGAGAGTATTTTAAAGTTCTGTTGATCAACAAAAGTATATCGCAAGATCTGGCGATCGAAATGATAAGGTCATCTAGACTTAACAAACCTTATTCTTATCGCCGCGTATTTAATTCGTCGACTGGCAAATTCAAAGAGCTGTTGTTGTAACCAATTCTTAAACACTTGCTCTTTTTGTTAACGGTTGAAAACCTAAAAATGTCTCTGCTTGAAACAACGGAGGCTAAGTGCAATTTCCCATTGACCAATCACCAACTGATATCTTAAACAGACCAATATATGAGACCTCATGAAGAAGAAACGTATTGCCAATGCTAAGCGCGGGAAAACGACAGCCGGTGAAATACGCAAGGAAACGAATGAAACGTACTTGAGAGAAAACTTTGCTGCTAATTGGTTACAAATACTGTAAACTTGCTCTGATTGGTTGAATATTTTTAGCCAAAGAGAGCTATGCAAACCTAATCTAATCTAACGCAGACGCACAAAATAACGCAAGAAAACTATAAGTAGACTATCACCGTTTGGGATAACATTTCTAACATGTCCGAATTTTTTACGAAAGCTCCATCAGTGCTTACTTGTTCTTACATAGTAAGAAAAACATCAAAATTTTGCAGAAAAAGATCTGAATTAACGGGCTGTACCGCCCAAGCTTTTACAAGGAAATTAATAACGTTTCGCCACTCTTCGGCTGAAAAAGGAGACACCCAAATTCTGACACTAAATATTCGTACCCGGACAAACCTTTTTCACTAAACCGACAATAGCTACCTTAAACATTCTGACGATGCAACACAGGTCACAACACAGCGGTCGAACGTCAAGCATGCGCAACGGAATCAATTCTGGCCGGCCGCGCGCCAATTTCCCGCGCGAAATTTCTAAAGAAAACATTAAGAACTGGCGCTGTCTCACAGCATAAGCGAAGGATAATTGAGACGTAAATAGAAATTGGTCAAAAAGGAAACAAAGATTATCAAGTTTATTTACAACTCTTTTTCGAGCCTCACCGAAAAAAAGTTATACGTCTTTAGAGCGCCGTGACTTACTGCCTTGTGTGGCTGTACGTAACTCGTGAGGGACAACTTGGTCCTGACGGCCTGAATGCTTGCCACATAGTTGTTTTAACGTTTGCCCCTGTGCAGACGTTTAACCGCTGTGTTTCGCTCATAATTTACAATAATGATAGGCATCGGAATACTTTGACGAGGCTAAACAGCTTCCAGTTATACCTGGTATCACAGAAAAGCTACTAGACAATAACAGCCGTAGTCAATACATCTTCGTGAAGCAAACTAGGAGAATACCATCATTATCACCGATCAAAAAACCACAGTGAGGTTTATCGGCCAGCGGCTTGCCGTAAAAAGCACGTGCGTTAAAACTTAAAGAACCCAGTTCTACTCGGTTTTGAAATGCTGTTGCATCCATACTCAAAGCTGGAAACAAGAAAAATTCCCCGCAAGTATAGTTTGGTTATATTCTGAGTAAAAATACTTCTCCAGATGGAGCTTGGAAGATTTGCCAAACAGTTTTTTCTACCATCACAACATTTAAGTTTTCCACTTAAAAGTCCGTTCACGTTTTACGAGTCGACGAACCATGCCCTAAAATGGATGTTGGACGCAATGTATACGCGTATTGCATGCGTATTTAACGCGGTCAAATAAAGTGATTGGGGTACAAAAAAAAGTACGTCAGTGCAAATACAAATGTTTCTGCTGCGGCTGTATTTTGATAAACTAAATTTGCAATTCGTTGCTTGGCAACATACTTTTTTTCAATCGGCCGATTTTTATTTTTTTTGTTTTTTCCAACACCGCCTGCGGTCGATATTTAAGACTGTCTGAGACAATCCAGTACAATATATTAATTCCAAAAACACTTAACGAGAGTGATTCAATTTGACAATTTGGAGACTTCATCTCCAATTTAAAATGAAAATACATTATGACTTTTCATGGCAGCCAAGAAACGACATTATCGTTTCGTGGCTACCATCAATTACTGCGTTTTTCACGTTCCTTCCTCTACGAGGGAAAAACGCCGAAAGAACGTAGAAAGAACATAAAAGGCGCGTTTGCTTCGCAAACTGTAACTAATTTTTTTGGTGTGAAATTTAAGGTTTCATTCAAGTTTCTTTCTCGTAACAGAAACATTTGCACTTGACTAACAGCAATAGCGTTTTAATTCTATATTGAATTTTCAGATGGCGTTAGTTAAATAATAGATTAATATAACTTTAATTATATTTAACTATAAATTGCGTTGATTTTTGACCTACTCTTGTTAGGGAAGCCCCCTTTGCTCGGCCGTTCTTCTTTATTCCAACTAACCATTTTGTGTTTTTGTACAACAAGAACGAATGGTACGTGTTTTCTTCCTGAATTTCCTTAAAAACGCAGTTTAGCGACGGTTCCTCCTATTTCGATTAGAAGAAAAAATAAACAGTGTCAGGAGAATTGGCGGAAGTTTAAAAGCCTTATAGCAGCAGAATTGGAGTGAAAAGAGCGCAAAATATTCCTTTTTCCTATTTGCGCCTGTGTATCGAGTACAACGCTGTGGCCAATCACAGCATAGGTATCAAAGCAGTCAGCTAATGAGAACTTGAAGCGCATACGGTGTTAAGCCTGGGAAAATGCTCAGGGCTACTTGACCTGTAGCCCTTGAAGCTTTCGTGTGATTGGTTGAGAAAGATCAACCAATCAGAGAGTAGCAACAGTAAAAACTAGTGACTCAATCTAGATTTCTCGGCCGGTATAAAGAGCAGCCATTAAATCCCTATCTCTTAACAATCACATAAAACTGAACATTTCTACTTACAACTCCGCGTAAGACACCTTTTTCACTGAACGATAAATATCTTTGACTTGTCAGGCCCAGTATCATAAGCAACCCGGTCCCGATTGAGTGGAACTCCAATTCAGCTGTTGGAACATGAAAAAAAATAAAGTAGGTTAGTTTCCTGGAATACCGCTCAGTATGTGTTAGTGATAGTTAAAAGAAATTGTTTATCGTAAGACAACACAGCGGTCAAACGTCGAGTATGCGCAAATAGATCAATTTTGGCCGACCGCACGCCAATTTCCCGCGCAAAATTTCGAAAAACACAACTTGGTTCCGAAAGTACGCCTCATTCGTTAAAACGTTCGCGCATGCACACGCGTCTGACCGCTGTGTTTCGTGATACTTTGCTGTCAGATCAGGTTGAGCTTCGGCAAGCCTGTATGAGTGCTAAAAAGCCCACTCAAAAACCAAAGGGGTGGGGCAAGTTTGGTTCTTTGTCAAATGACAGGGGTGTAAAGCCTTCTCGACTCCTTTTTTCGATCTTCTGGAGTCTCTACGGGGAAGGGACGCAGGCTCACTTCCCAAACTGCGGCAGGAAATCGAGCCTTAAAGTACTTGAAGAGTAGAGTTTTTTGTCTGAAGATCACATCATGTGACTCGTATCACGGTTTATACCTAGACCTTTCCATTCAAATTAGGTCACTTGACTTCTTCGTCTTTTTTGATTTAAAACAAAAAAATTTATTGAAGCACTTACCTAGAGGAGAATTACTGTCCGTAGTCCCATCCACGGTTCCATCGCGTTTAATTCTTAAAAGGTAACCATTGCGATTAAATAATTTTCCCCTCCGTACGTATGTCGGAGGTTTTTTATGCAAGTTTCTGTCCATTTGTGGTTTATTCATCGTAAGGCGCATATACACCTGATGTTCAGGTGAGATAAATGCCTGTTCTACGTTATCCGAGTCATCATCGGAACCACTCGCCTCCCTTCGACTGCCCTTCGGCGAGTTTCCGACCGGCAGCGCTTCCGACGGAAGGAAACTTGAGTGGGAAACACACAACAGCAAAATCCAACTCAGCGCATTTGCCAATAAAACCTGGAAATAAGTAACAACATTTTGACTCAGTAACTGCGGCAACCAGGCCATAACAATGGTTTAGATTTCTCTTTGAGAGCATAAAGGCTTAATGAGATGGTTGCGTTGCATGTGCTTTCAAATCACTACCGGCCTTGGCCAGAGTTTCCTCTCGATGAACGGAAACAAGAAGTAAACTCTTTCAAATTTTATTTTACCTTTTTAAAGGTTTTTCTCAGGAAAACAATCAACTCTTACCTTCATCAGAAACCTCAGTGAATCAACATAACCAAGTCAGATCAAAACAGTCTTATAAGGTCAGGAAGAGTTTAGTTTCACAGAGAAACAATAAACATTCTGATTTCTAAGGCATTGTATACGTTGGAATGTCTTTCACCTAGCACCTTTGTGAGATAGTGAGAACAGTTTTTAATTAATATTCTTTTTTTGAACTCGCCGTAACTAAAAGTTAAACGTGCGTTAAAAATTCACTCTTTCGGCAAAGCCGTTTACTTTTCGCTCTACAATTCGCAAGAGAAAACAGAACATTAA